CACACACACACACACACACACACACACACACACACACACACACACACACACACACACGGCATCTTGTGGATTTACTCAGACCTGAAAGCTTTTTCAAAATGAGCTGAAAGCTGGAAATTCCTTTTCCACATTCCATGTATCATTCAGCTGCAGTGTACTATCAAAACACAACTTTTAGAATTTAATATATGCTAAACATTTTTGAGTATGTAACACTATGCAGTTCAGAATTACCAGTAGTTTGTCAAGGCTTTTCTGCATATCTTAGCTCCAGTTACTCTGCAGAATACCACATGTTTAATGTGATATTCCATGTTCAAATGGAATACTTGGGGAATTTGAAGAGGAGTGAACTAAACCTCTGGTCAAGGCTTTTTTTAAGCTAACTTAGATTTTGTGAAGCTCAGAAATGTTAAATAAATACTACAAATGCTGTTATAGCAAATGTGTTAGTTAAAACAGTGTTCCACAGTTAGGACCAGTGCTTTACCCTCACTAGGGTCCTTGCACGGGAGTTTGTCCATCCATGGATTTTAGCATTTCATCACCTTATACACAAACAGCAAAATGCATTGTGGACACAGGTTGAAACAGTAAATTTTTCTATCAAAATAAACTATACCAAACATGCTGATGTATGATATAAAAACTACCCACTGTTGCAAATCTCCATAAAACATTTAAAGAATAAATTTCACAGCAACAGCTTTAAAACGTCTGTCAGATGTACGTAAAATTTTTGATCAACCTTTTTTTTTCTGTTTTCTCTGGATAGATGACTACATAACAAACTGCAGTGCAAAATTGAATCGTTGGCACACAGTTCACGGCCTCTAAAAATCCATTAGCATGAGAGGCTAATTAGTTTTTTATTGTTAACAATCAAGACAATAAAGAAGAAATCAACTCCCTGTCGTGTAATTTTTAAAACATGAGGTTTATTTCAGAGATTTGTCAAAGCTTTGGAATAAAATGCATCACGCAGATCTCAGATGTTCTCTGACAGGCAGTGCATTTGGTGTTTAAAGCTTTAGACTTGTACAAAAATCTGTTTGCTTTAAACAAAAAAGCCGTATCTATAGAGAGAATTGTTTGAGCTGCAGGGAGTTCTTTGTAAATCAATCCACAGTTTACAGCTGAACGACTTTAAACCAAAGATCAATCCCTATGTTTGTGAATGTGATGATGCAAGCGGAGTTWACCGGGCACAACATAAAAAAGTTTTACTCATAGTGTCTTTTTAAGTGTATAAGCTCAAATCAGTTTAAACATATTCACTTAAAGATCGCATTTCATGCTGGAGAAAGCTTTCCACACTTTTTTTGATTAGATCCCTTGAATATGTAGAACAAAACTTGTACTTATTACATGAAATAATGGGCGGTTCAACGTGACAGCTACCTCGAATCAATCTAGTGCTTTGCTGTATATTTGTGTTCCTGTTTCTTTCTAACCAAAAGAAAATGTTTGCGTGTGTTTGGGTTTGAGTGTCTCCTCTGTTGTAGAGCCAGTCTAAGAAACGGGGTAGCTGGCAGGTGTCCTTTCTTCTTAGTCATGCAATTTATCACCCAGCTGGTGGCAAAGACCTGTTTCAAAGTGCAAAATCCCAACAACCTGTGCTCTCAGTTGGCTCCGTAACAGTTAAGGTAATAATAAAATCATTTTAACTCCAAAACTCTAAAAACAAATAATATTAAGAAAAAATTTTAAAATACTGCCATCTACAAATTCTGTTTCTGTCATCCTCTTTTACTTTTCTCTTTCTTACCATGTCTAATTATACAAAAAGTGACAACAGCAGCAAATATATTCTAGCAAAAAAAGAGAGGAAAAAATAAAGACATGCTGAGCAGCCATGGAGATTTTAAATCTTTTGTTCTTTCTGGCTTAATAATAAAAGGGGTTTCAGGGCTCAGTGTGAGCCAGCTGTCAGAAATAAACCATGTCTATCAGTATCACTCCCTAGATATCATTATTTTAGTTCTTTTCAATTAATTAGGAGAGCATGGTGAGACGGTACTTTAGATCTCATTTCAGGGCCTAAATTGGTTTGTGAGCATAAAAACCTTTATTGAGTGTGCCTTGCCGCTCGCTCACGAGCACACACAAACACAAAATTGGCATGGCGAGTGAGTTTAGATATGGAAGTCAAATGTATAAATTTGAAGCTCATAACAATTTASAGGATATCAGTCAGTTTATCTTCTGGCTTTTATTTAACATGTCTCTCTTCTCAGCTGGTTACTTTAATAGCTTTTTTGTTTTCTTTTGAAATGCACATTGCTTTGTTCTCTCCTTGGAAAAGTGGCTTTCCCTGTGGGGAGTCCTTTGCCTCCACCTCACCCACTCTACCTCTACCTCCCCCCATTTTTATTTATCCACTGCTGCTGTACCAAATCAGCTTTAAGGAGGTGGGGGGGGATGGGTGTAAATGCAGGCAGAGAAAACCATGGTGGAAAAAGCATCAGCAGTAAGCCTTAAAGTTTGGAAAAGGTTCAAAGTTAAGAAAAGGTTCCTGCTTTCACCTTTCACTTCGGATTCTTTTGCTCACACTTTGCTGTCTTCATCGGCTCCATCTTTCTCCCTTCGGTGGTGGACGGGGGGAGTCGGGGTGATAAATAGGTGGTGTCCGATGTGCTGCTCCTCTCCAGTTGTTCGTTCTCTCCTTCTCCTCCTCCTTCTCTCCTTTTCTCTCTGGTCTCGACTCAGTGCACTTCCAGCACAACAGTGTGTTCACTCTTGTCAGCAAAAAAAAAGAAAAAATAAAAATAAAAAGGGGCAGTGGAACGACCAGATCTCCTAGGTACCATACACATGGGGGGGGGGGGCATGTGTGTGCATGGACAAAAACTCTCAAAGACGTGGAACACAGTAGGCTTACAAAATTTGGTCAGAAAAGGTCGGTTAATGTGCAAAATGTATTTTCATCTACAAGATTAAAGGCCTAGCATACCTGCAAGGAAGGCCTGCGTTTTAGACAATAATCATCTTGTACGAGAAATATACGCATTTAAATCATTCAGTTGGGGTCCATATGAAATTGAACCGAAATGCTTTATTTTAACTCCACAAGCCCCTCCTGTCTCTTTAAATTCAAATGAGGCACTTCACACCCACCCTCATTTCTAGTTTGACATAAGGATTTACGACTATAAATAGTGGCACAGAAATGTTTCATTTACAAATTAATTAAACGTTTTCAACAATGAAAAACTTGTCCATCCAGCCTCACATGTTGGAGCCTATTCTGATCCAGAGCGAAAGTAGAATGAAAACTATGAAAGTTCAGAATTTATTTGGCAGCTCTGTCGCAAAAGTTTGGYATGACAGTTCAGAAAACATCATAGAAAATAGAGAAAACTGAACRGGTTGAAAAATATGGCACCGGGAGAAACTAAATTCAACTTCCCTCCTAGTCCAAGTACACAACAAAACGGCTAAAAAAGTAGGATTTGCACATGTCCGCTCTAAGATCTTTGGACACTTTAAAATAATAATTCTAAAAAACAATAATAATTTTATGTGAAACAGTAAAGCATAACTCAGAGTTTTTTTTATTTTTATAAAAATCACACTTCTCCAGTCTCTGAATTCTATTCAGTTCAAGAAAACAAGCAAGAAAGACAGAAACTGCAGTTTTAGCAAAAGTGTTCAATACCTACCTGCTTTGATTGATGATAACCCTGAAGCTCTGCTAAGATTATCCCTTCATCCTGCTAACATGACATGTGTCTTTCCAGAACACTATTATCAAAGGAAATGCCTGTATACTTCGCACTGCCATTTTTAGAGCCCCCTAAAGAACTCTGAGTAGCACAGGTTTCTTTGGGTCGGTCTTAAATCTGCCACTGTTTTATGTGGCCAGTTTATTTGAGCTGAACCTGACATTTTATCAACTGTTTTTAGGCTTATAAAAACCCTATTCTTCAGCTTTGGTTTCACCTGTCAAAGCACCCTTCTGAATGATGCACCTCCCCCAACCCCTTGTTGGTGAATGAGTTTGTCACTAGAGTCTTTTTAGAGGAACAGCTGGTGTAAGCAGCCCCTCAACGTTTCCATGCATCACCTGTTGTATATAATTGCAGAGGATGACGGCCCACTAATGATCCCCCGCTTGACCCAGGGCCTGTATTTGCATTGTTTTTAGCTTAGCACATGGCTAATAGCAAGCCTGAAGGCACGTCGTCTCTGCTAAAGGATCGAACACCAATTTCCTCAATGCCAAAGGCAAGCTTACCACATCATTAGGAGCACAAGAGAAAAGGTGCAGGCCACCCAATCTCTATATATCGTGCTGCTGCACCTCGGATCGCTGCACTGTATAACTGAACCGGTGTTGCCTGGAGGTGCACTGAGCCGCTATTTATTTGTCTGATGAGATTGAACCTGTTAGCACAGGGGCAGTGAGGGAGGGATGCTAACACCCCAGAGGAACGAACACGCGCTCCCTAACCCAGGAAGGATTTTCTCTTAAAATAGGTCACACACAGAGAAGTGCAAAGACAGTATAATGCAAAATAAAACCAAGCCTAAGTTAAAAAACACACTAACACACAGAGAGGGATCTTGCAATCCACCCCCGCCCCCCAACCACTGCAGTTTTTCTGGACAAAGTCTTAAATTTGGGTTGTAAACGTGTACCGTTCTGGCTTCTACAAAAATCCAATCTGCTACAGGGTGGGAGTGAGAAACAGAGCAATAACAAGTAGTGATAAAAACAAATAAATCAATTTAGCTGCCCGATTTATTTTCCAATCTCAGAGATGGTGAGTTGTAAAAAAACTGCCTAACACCAGTGCACCAGCAATGAATGTCACTTGCAGTTTCCATCCATGTACACAGCATGTGTGTATTTGTAGGGCACGTTCAAAAAATAAAACAATAGCATGTAGTCATCCAAGGAATTAAGGTTTCTTAACAGATGCTCATTTCACATGCAAAGTAAAAGCCTACTTGTCCCATTTAATGTGAACAATGTTGTTCATTGTTGGCCCGCTGCTGTCCTCATGCTCTGTCTGCACTTCACTGTCTGTGTGGCTCTTATTATGGGAAAGTCAACAGGGATATAAGGGCACAGAAGCCCAGCCAGTGTTTTGGAGTGTCATTTGGCAGGTGTAGTGAGGAGGATATTGGACGAGGGGCAGCAAAATTGCTTCAAATCACAAAACTATACAGGAAATATTTCACTTGGACTGTACATCTCCAGGCACTCCACATTTAGAATGGGCTCTGCGACTTTAATTGAAACGGAAAGAGAGATGGAAAGGGAGAGAAAAGCTGTTACAAACAAGAACATGATTTATGAAATCCATCCCTCTGTTCGTCCAAGCGAGCTCATTATGTATGCGCAACAGAGGAGAGTGTGAGAAGTCAGATGAGTCGTCTCTGTGGCGGAGGAAGAGGAATGGCAGCGCTAAACTCCGCCGGTAATCAACTGGTGAAATTAAACATCAAAAAAACAGGAATGATTGTGTGCGGCAAAGCGATTTGTCTGCAATTAGCGGCCAGGCACATAACTCACACACAAGCGCACATAAACTCATTCGCACCTAATGGAACAAGACATGTCAGCGGTGTGTGTGTTTGTGTGTGGATGCAAAAATACAGCATGGGATAACCATAAAAAYGGTTAGTTAATAAACCTGAGAGACATTAACAGCATCAAGGGCAATTGGTGAATGGCTATTTCATTCCTCAGCAAGTCCTATTGAAAGCTTTCTGAAAGGCCGCTGCTCGAATTTATGACCTTTCCAGTGTCATTTGTTTACACTTGTTTAGCTGAACTGAGACAGGGAGGGCGAAATACCCTGAAGGGGATTTTACTTTTTCACATAATCAAACATAATGAAATCCCCTCACATTAAAAGGACTAATAGTTTGTGTGAATTTTCACATGTAGCTGAGAAAAAGGGCTGTTTTTACCTCACTGCAATTCTTGGTGTTTCMTAATATGTGTTAAATATGGTTTATTTTACTGCACAAAGGCAGACCGGCCCAGCTCAATGCACGGCATAAGTTCGGTCATACAATGCAGTTTTAACAGGGTCAGTCCCATCATGTTTGAAAAACAGAATTGTATTTTTGTTTTTGAGCATGAAAACTCCTATTAAACTGTTTTCATCTTTGTTGACATGTGCAACATATGTGCATTAGGAAAGCAAATGGTGACTTAATGCCTTCTGTGTATCTTTGATGGACTACATTTTCTAATGATAAATAATAAATTTGTGGAAGATGAAAAGTCATTTTGCACAGCCTCAAAGCATGAATTTGCACTTAGTAGCATTTAGGAGAACTTCCACTTGTAAAATCAGGCATTTTCCGGGCAACACCCATGCAGTTCTCGAGCAATATTTGTTTGTGAACAATCTCCTGATGGATATAAATCAACGTGTGTCAAAAAAACTAAGTATTTACAAACTATTATGCGTAGAAAAGCATACTATCGCCGACCATTTTATAAAGTACACACTGGCCGGCTGTGGTTGCTGGTTCGATCCCTGTTCCAYACGTCTCATTTGTTATGTCCTTGGGTAAGACCTGCAACGCCTGCCGGTGGTGGTCAGAGGGTCCAGTGCTTCATGAGTCTCCTATTCCACCACATCCTAATGATGATCCTGTTCTTTGCTGAGAGGAGTGGCACCTGGTGGGATTTTCTGCCGCTGTAGCTCAAGAAACTATTCTGTTGACCTTGAGTGTAAAGCTAGGTTCACACCGAACCCACTGAGCAGCAGGAGCAGCCGGTTTACTATGGTGGATGCGCGTCTAGGGGTCTCGCGGCGTGTCTAGAGCATTTAGCGCAGCGTGCAATGAAGCGGTGGGTACGGTTTGAGCGTTTGACATGCATGTGGCACTTCCAAAGCAGTCGACGCTCGAGTTAAAAAATCTGAACTATTGCTGCGTCAACCAATCAGAGAGAAAATTTTTTCCACGTGACGGTTTCCTGAATGTTGCCCACTAACATGAAACAGACGGACAGGAGCTCTTTAGCTGAAATCGACTGTCTGTAGTTCTGGCTGGAGATATCAGCACCGATGCGGGTCAGYGGCTCGCTAAACCGACCGCGGTGTTAAACTGGGCTCGGGACAAAAAATAGTTCGTCAGCTCGCAGCTCCTGAACTCACTGAACAGACCGCCTTTAAATTATCTGGTGAATTAATTATCTGGTGAGCGCAACGTTCGCTTTGTCTCAGTAAATAAAGCAGAGCCATTGTCTTTATTTCAACTTTATTTAATCTGCACTTCAAGACAGACCTGAAAAAAAAGATTCTCCTCCCGTAAAACCATCTTCAGATGTGCATCTAGTCTCAATCGGGTCTGATCGCAACACGTCCAACTTGAGGCGTTGGGCACATTTGAGATGCTCAAAATGCATTCAGAACATGGCATTATAAGAGGTTATTTGAGCCATTGCTGCTTTTTGATGATCTCAAACCAGTATAGAAAAGCCCAGCAGAGCAACAGATTCTGAAATATTCAGAACARCCCACGTGGCACCAACAACCATCCCATGTTCAAAACCACCTAAATTCTTTTTTTCCCCTAATCTCATGCTCGGCTTGAACTTCAGCAAGCCATCAACTCTTGTTGCCTAAAAGTACTGAATTACTGACATATGATTGTCTGATTAGCTATTTGTGCTACCATGCAATTGAACAAGTGTAGATTAMCAGTGAGTGTATATAAATGCTCATTTACTCTGTTCATGTGTGGTAACTTAAATTAGAGAATAAATAGG